CAAGCCCCTCTTCTTACCTTTGCCCCCCCCCCCCCGGAATGGGGACATAGCTGCTGAGATCTGGTCCCTTAGGCCCCTCACGCTTCCCAGTCCTGGGGAGGCGGGGTGACACGTGTGATTTTCATGCAACCAAGAGGGCAAGGGACACACACGCAGGAGAAGCAGACCAAGTGTGCCCTTATTCCATCCCTGTGCCCTCGATCCAGGAGGACATGACAGGAGCCTCCCAGCTCCCCAGGCCCTCCCCGCCCATGTCGGCCTCTGCTGGGTTTCCCTCCTGGGGACGCCAGCATGGAGCTGTCTCCTTACTTCACCTGGCCACTCTGTGCTTGCTTTTTTCACCTGTCACCCTGGAGCATCCAGTCCGCCTCATTCCCGATGTCAACAGGGTGCCCCGTGGTGTGGACGCGTCGTAACTTATCAACCAGCCCAGATGGTGTTGTTCCTGGATTTTTGCTTTTCGAGCGAGGCTGTGCTGAGGGACGGTGGCACACCAGGGCTCTGGATGACCCACTTGGCCGTCCCCGCCCTCAGCAGCCGTGGCTGTCCCAGTGGAGAGTCGTGGGCCACACTTGCTGGGTCTGAGGGACGTTCCTTTCCACTGGAGTCTGACCTGGAAGTTGGCAGGGGCCACCCCTGTGAGCCTGGGCCGGGCTGGGGCTGCTCATCTGCTGGGGAGGGGGTCCTCTTTCCAGGCACCGAGGAGGCCCCAGCGGTCTCTACAGTGGAGAGTTTGGGCGAGAAGCCGAACCTCTGGGTTTTGCGAATGACCTGACCCTGCTTTGTGCCTTTCCGCTCACCGGAGGCTGCTAGTTGAGCCTTGAAGCAGTGTGAGCCCAGAGGCCATCTCTCTCTCTAAACATGTGGGATTAAGTAGAGAGGCTTGGGCCCCAGTGCAGAACAAAAGAAGGGAGGAGTGAGACGAGGCCCTTTGAAAGGGGAAGGAGAGGGGTCTCAGTGGAGAACCTTCCTGGCTGACCGAGGGCCTGGAGGCGGGCCGGGCTGCCCGCATCCACGGTGGTGCCCCTCAGAGGCTGGCAGGCCTGACGTGTGCGCCCCCCCGGGACTGGGGGCCGGCCCTGCCTCCCAGGGAGACCTCTGTCCCTAGATGCACACCTCCTTTTTATTGCTTAACGTTCTGCTCCACCTCCCTCACGAGATTACAAGTGCTGGGGGGCAGACACCAGCCCCGAGTCCTCGGACAGGACTGGCGGTGACAGCGCCTCAGAGCATCCTGGCTCCGTCCCCAAGCGGGTCCCCCAGTAACATCCTGGGCGCCACTGAGTATGGACCGTGCTCTCAGCCCTGAGCTGAGCACTCTTACTGTCCCCCTTTCAGAAGTGAGAAAGCTAAGGCTGAGAGGCCATTCTGGAACCGCCCAAAGCCGTAGCCAGCCAGCCAGCGCACCACCAGGGGTGTCTGAGGCCAAGATCAAACCCCCCACTCCCTCCCTTTTCCCCTCCCCACCCCCAACCCTTGCTTCCTGGAGGCCCTGCCTGCCTCAGGGGTTTCCAGCTCCGGCCAGGGCTGCGGAGCCCAGAGGCAGGGGACAGAGGGAGGCGGGGAGGCAGCTCAACTTGTGGCCTGGAGCTCAGAAGACCTGACCTCCCCGAAGCAGGCTGACCGCTGTGGCCAGACCTCGCCCAGCGGTCAGTCAGGGCCACGGGGGAGGGCGCTCAACCACCGCGTCAGGGACGGAGGACAGGCTCTGGGAGGGAGGTGCTGGGCTGACAAAGCCAGGACCTGGGCCTCTGGAGGCTCCCGCTGGGCAGTCTGCTTCCTGCCGGCCTCTTGGGTCCAGCTCGAAGCCGCCACAGTCCACGGGGAGACTGAGGCAGGATGGCCGGGGCTGGGGTTACGGGAATGTCTGGAGGCGAGGCAGGACAGGAATTTCTCCGACGGCTGAGAGAATTGATTTTTTTCCATCATTCTTTTTTTTTTTTTAATAGCAGCGCCTGAACTTTATTTTTGAAATTCCCTCAGTTTCGTACTGTTTTGTGGCTCTCCTTTCTAGGTTTTAATCTTTGCTCCACCTGGCTTTGTCTTTTTGGTGTGGGATCTCCATGAGTTAGGGTACAAGTTTCAGGAACCAGTTCAGATTGTCCTAAGGAGAATAAGGAAATATTTATTTTGCTGAAGAAAAACTTAGAGGCTGGGAGCAGCGGCTGCAGACGGCGGCTGTAGGAGCTCCAGCGAGGCCGGGCGGCGCCCCCCCGCATCTTCCCCCACCCCTGCCCCAGGTCCCTCCTGAACAAGAGGCCTGGGGTCGGCTCTCACCAGATATGTGTAAACGGTGCAGGGCTGCAGAAACGGCCTGCATTTGTCCAGGGAGGGCCCACCTAGAGCTTTAGGGATGCGCCGACTGGACAGACCTGGAGGGTGGGCAGTTGCAGGGAGGCAGAGGGGAGGGGCCCGGGGAAGGGGGCGGAGACAGCAGGCCCTGAGGGTCCAGTCTCCTGGCTTTGCAGGCGGCCACCCTTCTGCCCCCTCTCCCTGACATGCTGCCCTCTTTACCCAGCACCACGCTTTGCCTCACTGGGCGCCATTTCTGGCCCGTCTCCACTGCACTGGTCTCCGCGTCCACCCTTCCCCCTGTGCCAGGGTGTTCGCACCAAGTCTCTCTCGTGGGTCAGTATTTGCTAAGTGGGTGGTAGGCTGCCGCCTCCCTGCCCGGTACTGACCCATCGCTCTTCCTTTCTAGAGCTTTCCTGGCCATTCTTAGATGACGTGTTTCGATTTGCATTTTAGCATCAGCCTCTGTTCCCAAGTCTTGTGTCTTGTTGGGACAAATGCCTAGACCAGGCATGGCGTCCACACCTGCACCTACCTGTCTGGGGAGGCCCTGGCTTCCCTCGCCTGGCCTCCTTGCCTTCCTGGGATGGCATTTACAGTGTTCCCGGAGACTCTGCACCAGGCTCAATAGAGGTGCTTCTGTTCACTCGTTGTCAGAGGGTAGGCCGCCTCGGGCCCCCGTCCGTGCTGTGAGCTTTGACAAGGGAAGGCAAGCCCCCAGAGCCAGGCGTGCCCCCCAGTGCCTCCGCAATCCAGATCTATGCCCACCTCCAGGCTGCAGGGGTGGGGGATGCCGAGGAGAGGCATTCCGGCCCCTGGAAGTCAGGCCTGGCCCAAGCCTCTGACCGGGGCGGGCCTGCAGGGTGAGGCCCCCTCTCCTCGCTGCAGACCTCAGGATCAAGGGGAACCACAGCGGGCCTCACACCAGACCTCCTAACCCACCAGGCAGGGCCCTGGCCCCTGCCCGTGGCCCCCACCTGGCCCTCCGAGGCAGCGGTCCCTACTGCCTGTGCTCAGCGAGGTATGGTATCTTAAATGTTTTGACATTTAAAATCTGTGTTGGATACGTTTGTTCTGTTTAAATAATACCGGGCTGCGATGACTCACAGGGAATTAGTTTGTCTCCTGGGCCCAGACACAGCGTCCCCCTGCACCCCTGCCCAGCCCGCAGCCCAGCAGGAGCCTCAGAAGCCTTCCCGGAGCTGCCCCGCCGCACGCCAGCAGCGTCCTCACCAAGGGAGTTGGGATGGGGCCCCATCTCGGGCCTCCCGAGCTCTGAGGACGTGGGGGAGAAGGGTGCCTGGTGGAGGGGCTGTCAGGAGCCCCGGGCCGGCAGTGAGTGATGGGCACTGGGGCCAGCGCGTGGGAGAGGCCCTCCCGAGGGCCCGTTCACCCTAGTCTAGCAGAGCTTTGTTCAGATGGCACTGAGGTCTCCTCCGGCCACCGCCTCCTGGAGGCCCTCTCCATCTCCCAGGTGGGTTCTGGAACACTGTGTGGGTGGGCAGGGCCTCTGGAAGCCTCAGCCAGCGCCCTCAAGAGAGCAGGCGTGTGAGCCTGCCCCCCTCTGGACAGACGCCTGACCGCCAAGAGGGCCGCGGAGCAAACCTGCCAACGTCCCCATCTGGGAACCTCTGGCATTTCTTGGTGGCCACTGGTCCCCCCGTCCCCTGCTTGTATGAGCAGGACAGAGGTGCAGACACCATGTCTGCGTATTGTGGAGGACCCTTAGCTCTGCTCTCAAGGGCTGCGGGCAAACTGAGTTAGGAGGTAGCAGGGGTGCAGCCCGGGGCCCAGGGAACCCTGGGCGCAGACGCCCTGGAACTCCCCAGAGGGATTGCAGCTGCCCGGCAGAGCCAGGCACAACCAAAAGCTTTTCTGAACGTGAAGTTCAAAACGAACATTCGGAGCAGCCGACCACGGACAGACCCACTGTGGCATCTTGAGGGCGAGGCCACGTGGAAGAACAAAGGGGCGTCAGACAACAGGAGCGCTCAGGAAGAATAAAAAGCCACACGTGGATTTATACCGCTCGAGGCTGCTGCCCTGGGAGGCGGTGGCCGCGTTAGGTCCAGCTCCATGGGAGACCCGTTCCCCGCCGCCCACCAGGGCCACCCCTGCGAGGTGGCTGCGAATGTCCATCTCAGCCTGGTGTCCCGGCAAGGCCAGACTCGGGCTTGTACAGGTCCAGCCCCAGTCTGTGGCTCAATTTCCCCAAGTGCAAAGGACACGGAAGTTAGAGGGGCCAGTAAGAAGCACTTTTCATGCGTGGAGAGGCGG